TATTATTGGAGTTGAGACAGTTTTAATCAAAACACAAAAGTAGAGTACATGAAAAAATCTGTACAATCATCAGTTTTGGTCCGTATCAAAAATTCGCTGTCAGGGAACGAACGAACATTTAATTATCATTCTAGCTGACTACATTTGATTTTCTCCTACAACCTATAAGTAGACGAAAATTGAACAGATATGTTGTGCTAAGACTTTTTACACGCACACTAGATACAGAAATTCAACTAGGAAAGCTATATAAGTTAGAACGCTAGCCATTTGCGTTCCGATTCATATTATCAGTATATAAGAGCGCTATGTTATTTGAAGAAAAATAAGAAATAGACCATGCGTGTGTTGTTTTTCAAAAGAATTACTAAGGTGAATATACGTAACGATCTTCGGCTCTTTATACCAAACCATGATTGCTTTCGAATTCAATTGTTACCCATGATTGCATTTTGCCCACACCTAGAACATTACAATTTACCGTTGATACTTCAGTATCACTTGGCAGATGTGTTTGCTCTTTTAACCAGTCAGCTATAAATTGTCGACTATTTTCTTCAAATTTTTCTTCTTCTACACGTACTTTTAATAATAATGAATACGAATTATTTCGTAAAATTTGTAAGATTGTTTGAAAATCTCGCTTTGTTAGAACACGTATTTCCAAGTGTCTTAATAAAAATTTGTTCTTAATGCTATTGAAAAAAGTAAAGTCATCTGTCATTTTGTACCATATGTTTAAAGTAATTAAACGAGGAAGATTCGAAAGGAGATTTGAAAGAGCCATAGAATTCAGCTGTATCGGATAGGCTAATTCCAGTTGTTGTACATTATCTAGATTAAGTACATTCGATAGTGGTTCGACGATGTTCTGCAACTCTACATTAGTGTTAAGGCATAGTTTTGTTACATTAGAAAAGTAGTAAAGATAAAGTCTGCTGCAGGAATCTGCATCTAAGTTAACACACAAAATTAATTCTTGTATTGTATGTTTATACTTATAAATATAAGGCACAATTGGACTTGTTATTTGTTCACGATAATTTTCATTGATCGGCAATGCTGTTGTAAGATATAAGGAAGATGATTCGCAGTAGGGTAAAGTGTAAAGATTAGTTATTTCATCATCAGTATTACCATAAACAAACCATTGATGTTTCTGAAGCCAAAAGTTACTTTTAAATGAGCTAATTATATGATCGAAATCAATTGTGATCCATTCACCTACGTGGTATTCTCTAAAGTAGCAGATAAAACATAAATTAGATAATATCTTGCCAAAAGAAAAAAGTAATTTTTTTCATCCTTTCACAATAGCTCGAATCCTGAATTTTCGCATTTGTGTTTAAAGACATATGCGAATAAAAGAGTCTACTCTGTTAGAATGTGTGCTATCGTCCAGTTTACTACTTCTTTCCTTGCTATTTTGCTTTCACTTAGCCGTGCGACTTTTTATTAGAACTTCTAATCTATCACTTTGATCTTCTTTTTCTCATATTATACATACATATAGTTCCAGTTATTGTCATTCGTTACACTGAAGTTAAATTGAAAACATTCTAACGATGGTAAATAACTTTCAATTATCTGTTCCCATCGTTGTCCATTGAGAAATGTTTCATGTACTTCACCTACGATAACTAAATGTTGAAGTTGAGACAGTGAAAAACTATTCAGTTTGAATAATTCAGTCACAGTATCAATATTATAAAAGTCTTTGGCAGCTGCAAAATTTATTTTTAGATAAGATAATGTCGACGAAATGTGTAGGAACATGTTTCTATCGACGGTTGTTTTTTCTTCGTCATTTCGATAGACTTCATGCAGAATTAAAATTAATTTTTTTAACTTAGGTGTCCGTTCTAAGAAATAGTGAACATGGTCTATATAAGAGCTTAGTGTTAAAACTTCAATATTTGATGATGAATAGTTGTATTTACATAGGCCTCTTGTCGGTTCATAGTGTAGAATAACATCGAACGTAACTGATCTCAAAGTTGGAATACGATTCGAAAATATTTGTTCGAATATTAATTGATTGTCTTCAGGATCTCCGGGATAATCAAGAATAACAAGCTTTGAAAGTTGATGTAGTCGATGAAGCTTCGAAAGAAGTAAACGAAAATATTGTGGTGAAACATCATTTAACTTTAAACATTGAAGATTTTCAAAATTCTCAATTGAAAATGATGATAAAAACTGATGTATATAATTACGTTCATCGTCCTTCGTTGATAAATGAAGAGAATGAACTTGTGTTGGATTTAAATTATGCAGTAGATGTTCAAACTGGGATTGTCGCAAATCATTATCGATTTGTATTGAAGTCCAGCAAGTGATAGTGAGATAAGTAAAATGTGAGTTGAGATTAGTAAAACTCAGCAAAATTTCGTTAAATGAAAGATAATCGAAACAGAGATAGATTAATTCGTTTGACAAATGACTAATATGTGATTTTGCTAACATCTGAAAAACGAGAAAAGTTTATGAAGTAAAAGAAGTGACTGTTATAAGTTTGGAAAAACTAACAAGAAGAAATTTTGTTTTCTCAGAATTCTATCATTTTCATGTTTTTCGAAAACAATAACACCTTGACATCAATCCTCGAGACAAAATAGAAGGAACAAATTAATATTTTTTCCATTTCTTTTTTTATTCTCTCAAAAAACTAAGACTCTATGTTCTGTTGGTTGATATTTAAAATTATTGTTATTACCACAAGCAAATTTTACTTAGCTCGTATTCGATGGTATATGGTGTTCTTTGGCAGTTATCTGATTGGAGCACTGTAGAACTTTACAACCACTCACTAAAGTAGTCCCATCATAGTTCAATTGAGTTTGACAGGAACGTTTGGAATCATCGACAAATATAAATGTACCAATGGTGTGATGGATTCGTTCGCAATCACCATCATTGTTATATAGTTCCATGAGATGACCACACGGACGAACATTATTGGCGTTTTCTGAGCGTGACTCTTCTGTATGTTCTATCCTTGATGTACTTCTTTTCTTTCAAGTTGATTGTAGCAACCGTTTTGACTAGCTTGGATCATGCCGACTGAACTTGTGTTTCTGCAAAAGATGACTCGACCCGAACAACGATACGGTATTCACTTTGCATTATTTGTATTTGAATCATTGGAGCATTTTATCAATAATCGAAATTCATGCTTGAGAAAATCGAACTGATGCAATATGTGAATCTTTGCAGATCTTAAAACTTTTCATATGTGTGTGACCAAGTAGTCGACACTCTTTCAACACATCAGAAACACTTAGAAGATTGTGATGTCATGACAGATATCTGATCGACTTGTTATGACACGAGGTTTATAAATTCTCTTCTCATAGCAGAAAAATTATCAATATTCACTAAGTCCGAAAACAATTTCATCAACAAAAACAAGATAGAAATAGAAAAATCAATAGACATAGTGATATCAATGACTTTCTTTTTTATTAAACACCGATAAAACCAGAAATAATTGATGATTTTAAATTAAAGTCGTCGTTTCTCATGATAAAAATCAATGTTTTTCAAAAAACTTCGTTGATAATTTATGGTTCAATACCGATTAAAATCAATTATAATTGTTAGTAATTGATTATTATAGATTTTTTCAAGAAGCGATTGGCATCAATGAGATCTCATTCAATTCCAATCGATTTTTATCTATTGTCACGTATTTATCGATTTTGACTCATTACTACTGAATTGATTTTAATCGAATTAGTCTGAACATTAATTAAAACTGATCTTATAGTTGAGTACCAATAATAATTGATTAGTTTTTCAACAATTATCATTCATTTTAAAACAAATCGATTTAGATCGAGATAATGTCCTATTCATCATTCTGATTGACGGATGACTCAGTATTTCACATATAGTATAAATGATTGTTTTCTCCATAAGCCATGATCGCAAGATACAGTACCTTTGAAAAAGATCGATCAATTCTACAGACAATGTTCTAATGTTGGAATTCAAAAATAGATAGATCTCATACCGAGGTCTTCGTGGTACAAATATGTCTCAATAAAATCGCTTAGTTCGATCGAATAATTTTGTCCAGTCCGAGATTGACCTAATTTAAAATTTTACCACAGGTAAAACTGTTGTCTTCGTCAACTTTTGCACTGAAAAAACAGAGGAGTGTGAATGTGGAAATGTGAGAGTGTGAGGGTGAGATGAGTTTGTGCCTGTTTCTAATTTCGGGATTTTCGAAATGTATGCCAGAGGTTTTGAAGTTTTATGAATATTACAGTCCACGAAAATTGAAAATATACCCTTTGATTTTTTTTTGTTCTTTATTATCATATGTTTTTTATCTATTAACCTACTATATATAGGAAGACAGCTCAGAATGCGCTGCATCTTGTGGTATATTTACGTTGAACGTCAAATGTAGTTTAAAATGTAAAAAGTCCATGAGGAAAAAAAGTGACATTTGTGTTTTTTTTTACAGACTTTTGCATGCGGCAGCATTTTTTATTTCGCATATATCTCAGCTTAAAAAAATGATAAAACCTTGAATTTTTTTCCAAAAGATACGCCGTGAAAAGCTCTACGGCAGCTGTGTGATCGAATTTATTTTTATTTGTTCTGATGGTTTTTCTTATACTCAAAATGAACAGCTTACATTTTAGTGTCACTTCCGATCATACTGAAACTGTTAGAAGACTTTTTGTTCTGCATATATCTCGACTTGGAAAAATGATGGAATATTGAAGTTTTTTTAAAGATGCGCCGTCGAAAGCTCTATAAAACTTGTATAAAACCTCTACAAAGTTTTAATACACTAAAATCTATAGTGAATTAGAAAAGTCCTCGAAGTATTTTCAGAAATGATAGGTAGCGATACCGTCATGTAAGTTGTTCATTTTGAGTATAAGAAAAACCATCAGAACAGACAAAAAGAAATTCGATCATACATCTTTTGTAGAGCTTTTCACGACGCATCTTGTGGAAAAAAATTCAAAGTTTTATCATTTACCTAAGTCCAGATATATACCAAATAAAAAAATGTTGCAACATTATGGACACCCAGTATTTGTAAAAATTTGTAAAAAAAAAAATGAATGTCACTTTTTCTTCTAATACACTTTTTATATTTTAAACTGCATTTGATGTTCAATGTAAATATACCAAAAGAGGCAACGCGTTCTGGGCTTTCTTTCTATATATAGTAAGTTAATAGGTAAAAAACAAAAAAAAAGATCAAAGGGTATATTTTCAATTTTCGTGGACTGTATTCTAATGCAAGTAGACATAATTATCAGAGGAAAATCTGATAATCCATTGTAAACATAGGATATTTCTTCTTCTTAAAATCCACCAAGTCACTTCTAAAAAATATTTCTTGAGTGCAAAGTTGAGTTCATGCTTTTTTACATCACTCCATCTAGAGAAATTTTTTAGATAAAATAAACAAGGAATTTTTCCTTGTAAAAATGTTTTAGACGACTTTTCATGAGTGTCGGTTATGTACAAACAGCAAATAAAGAAGATAGGTTCTCTATTTGAGAATGATACTGAGAATTAAAAAATTATTCCATTAATATGCCACACACTGATTTTCATCGAAGAACGACGCCACCATTAGGAGAGGGAGTAGGAGTATGAATTCGTCAATAAGTAATACAGGCGGACTACTAGGAGAAAGAGATTGAAAACCATGAAACACTGATCGGCGTTATTGTCAAACGATCCTTTTGTAGTAGACGAGAGATCAAATTGCATTAAGAACGCTCATACTTGTTTTGCTTTTCACCAATTATCCAGACAATCACAAAAAATTTGAAAATGGGTATAAATAAATTAAAAAAAGAAAAGAAAAACCATGGTCGTTATTCTTTCATAACCGAGAACCATAATTGTAAGCAATAAACGACCATTTTGTTTCTTTTTAATGCATTTCCAGGCCTTGTCGATTCTTGCGACTACTTGCATAGTTGAAGCACGCCATAGGAAAGAAGAAAAGTGTGTATCCATCATTGTAAATTTAAATAAGCATATGTACTTTTGAATTCTGTCATGAATTTGTTTTTTCTGTCTTTCTCTTTTTCTTCCTTTTTTATGTTACCATACAATCATGTCGAAAACAAGAGTGATGTATTTCGTGAGGATGACAAATAAAAAAAGCAAATGTTTATTTATTCTAATAGTTCTATCCTAAATTTGTTCAAATGAAACCTCTAGTTTGTTTAAGCTCTTTCTCGCGTGAAACAAATTCTGAATTCGTTAATAAAATCTTGCTGAATATGAAAGACAAGCGAAGCCATTCGTAATCAAGGTTAACTCATTCTTACGTTAACAGTATCGTGAACGAATGCTTGAGATTTAAGTTTACTAGACAATGGTACTATTACATGCCAACGGGCTGTCGTTTGTTTTGAACAAACACGAATTTTCATTAGCCTCTATAACTTTCAGCAGAAAACGACAATAATAATTTCTTTCTTCACAATGTTAAAGCAAATCTTTCAGAACACTACAGATTGTGTATTTTCTCCTCAGTTGAATATCAAAAGTCAATATGATGTTCAGTAGATCACATCAATTTATTTCTACGTAATGTTGAGATGAAATATCAAGCTCGTTTGAAACTTACATTTTTAGGATTTGATTTTTTTCGGAGAAAATCATAAAAATAGATTAGTCGATCATAACATGTGTGTAATTCATTTGGTATAAGTTAATTTTACATTATATTATGCCTTTGATTGAATTCGATAGATAACGACCTAGAGTATTCAAAATAAAATTCATCGAATAATAAGATTAGATTAAAATATTTATAAAATCAAACAATATCTTGATCGTTTTGCTCATTGTCTGAGAATCGAATTTGCTTCTATTTGATTCTACATTACTCAAATTAATCATCAGTGAGAGAAAGACAATTCGATATCTCACAAGTCTCTAAATTTGGATGTTTTTTAATCAATAAAGATGTCAGATACTCAGATTATTCATTTTTCCTTAGTAGGGATCGATTCAGTTTGTTTATAAATGTTTTCCCAAAGTAAGTCAAATAAAGATTATTGAACGTCTTCTTCCATACAGATATTATTGTTTTTACTTTCCTTCGATTAAATGGTAGCTTCCTTGGGCACAACTGAGTAGTTGTTTGCTTTCGTTCTCTCTTTTAATTTTATGCAAAGAGAAAAATATATTCTACCTACGCATTGGAGTACTATCGATTTCGTTGCGAATACGAGAAAGAAAACAACAGTACACTGTTGATTGTTTTTTTGTCCTTGAAAGTATTCTTTAACATAACAAGATTCATGTCGTAGCTATGTGTTGTACTCATTCTTCAATATTGTAAAATTATATTTAAATATCGAATCGATACTTTACTCACGATCGGCATGATTGTTATTGACATTTATTCGATAAAATATCTATAGATAGTCAAGAACATACATAGGTCCCTTGAATAGCATGATTCTCAC